AATCAAGACACTCAGAGTTATTTTCCTGTGGGTTTACTATCTTAAATAAAAAATTAACAAGTAGCAACATTGATTAGAGGCTCTACCTAGTGTTTTAATATACTTAATATCCAATCATGCTAATGTGGAATAGGCATTGAATTGATCAAAAAAGGGACACAATTGCAGAAGATGCTCCCTGACAAGGAAAGAAAGTATGAGCAAAACAGTTCTAAAAAAAAAAAAAAAAAAAAAAAAAAAAAAAAAAAAAAAAAAATTTCAGGAAAATAGAAAAGGTGAAAGCCTTAATAATCTAATGATAAATTCCAGATGCCATGAAACACAAAATTCACACAGATCAAAATGAAACAATAATTTACTTACTTGGAGGAAGAGCAAGGAGGGGAAAAAAATGTTAACTAAAATAGTAATTATGTATCAAAGACAATTTATGGCATCAGTTCTTTATCTGAAGGACACAACACAAGGAGTCTTCTACTCAAAATGGATTTACTATTAAAGATGGAAGGGGAGAAAAAAGTAAAGATTTGTCTTGCCTGCATTCTTCTGGATATCTCCTAATAGCATAAGTGTGTAGAGGATCTTGAAAACTTAAATGAAGACAATCAACAACTATCTGAGAAAGAAACAAAAGCCTGTATTTGCTCCAAAATCATAGTTACAACTAACTGTGAAAGGGACTGAGGAGAGTATCTGAGGGACGTGACTAGTAAGAGACTGGAATACCTTTGATATTCATGATATTTATAACAGCTTAGATTGTAATTACATGCTTGAGTATTAAGGCAGCTGAGGGGCCTAAAATGAAAAATACACTGCCCTTTAGTAGTTTGGAACTCAGTGATCTTTGAGATTTGGTCTCTGGAGAGAGATAATTACCATCTCTTGAACAAAGATGACAGAGGTCTGAAACTACTTAAGCACAGGGGATGTAGCACATGACACTGCCACTCTTGCTTGGTTCTCAGTTCAAATGTAACATATTGAAAGGAAACCTGACTGATAATGAGCTATTTCATTTCCTGTCTTGCATAGGTTTTCATCATTTTACTCCTCTGCCATATGATCCTACAAAAGACCATAATCAATTATCCATGAACCTCTATCCATCACAGTCCTTGGAACTTACTTTCGTATTTGTGTTTTCACTCCATAAACTCTCCTTGCCAGTTTTAATGTGCAATTCAGACCGAGTAAAAGAAACAATGTGTGAAAACATGTTTGTTGAGACAAAAGTGACAAAATGACATGAGACATTTGGCAGTGGTAAGGAAGGTTGAAATGTGCCAAGCTCTTATTAAAATAATGAATATTAAATTATTCCTAATATTCTGTTTATCACTGCCTAGCTGTGTAACTTCTGCCTAAAATCTTCCAACTCCCACATTTTGCCTGAAATCAACTGTAGATAGACTAAATTTTATGATAAATATTTTTAAATCTGTCATTAGTAATCATTACTCCCCTAACAACAGAGACACTAAAAAAAGTATTGTCTATATTTCAGTGATCTTAAGACTAATGGTATAACTGAAAAAGACATACCTATAAAAGTCAGCATGCCCCCATTCTGTCCTTCCTAATCTGTGGGCAACAAGTTGCATGCTGCAAAATACAAAATCTGAGCCTTGTTTTTGTGTCTGAAACCTGAAAAAATCTACAGTGTTCATCCTGTGATTCTGCTACTCTATGCGTTTTCATCACTCTCATCTATTTAATGCATTTCAACCCTGTGAGCTCTTCCCTCACCTCCAAAGGAAGCTCAACAGGATAACGTTCTCTATTACATATTTAACATAGGAAACCAGAGCCACCATACCTGTTTTTTTTGTTTGTTTGTTTGTTTTTTTAAAAAAACCAAACAACACAAGAACAGAAAAATCAACAAGTTCTCAGGTACTCAAACTGTTATGCAGAATTTGGGCATTCAGTCTCTTGAACTTAGATGCCTAAATCCTATCTAAATTCTACTTTGAGTCCAATGTTTTATATCTTATGTTCCATTTAAAAAGGGTCTTAACGTGTATCTTTTCTGGTTATTCTACTTTCAACTATTCCTGGATTTCAGCCCAAGTCATCGCAGCATTCAAGTCTGAAAGTACTTTAATCTCAAGATGGCTTCTCAGATATGCACAAGTATTAGAGTCTTTGTTGTTTATTTTTAACTTCAGCTGTTATCTACCTGTGCTGTAACAAAGGAGCAAGCATAATACCCATGAATTTCTGATACACTTCCTATTCCTTTCCAAACATTTTCCCTGCTGACAAACGAGTTAAGAACAGCTGGAAGAAAGAAAAATCCCTCAAATCTCAGTTCAAAGGACTATGAATGTGTACTCAAGTAGCCAAGGGCAAAGAAAATTTTCCGTAGTACCCTGTCTTCAAACGCTGGTCAGTCTAGTGGTTTTTAGCTGCTTAGAAAGAGGTAATAAGAACTCACAAAATGAGTCTTAAAAATCTTACTTCTTTTCACTGTGCCTCAGATTTTTTAGCTTTTATAATGATAAGGTTTGTCACTTTCTAATTCTGTAGGCTTGCCACTTGCAGATCTGAAGCGTTTCACCGAAGGCTGCTGGGGCAACCCTTGTGCCCTTATGCTATTTTTCTTAAGATCTTGCACCTCAAATTTCTAATATTGCTGCCCTTGTAGATTTTCACTGGAAATTACTGCCACTGGTGTTGGACTTACCCATCCTGAACTCCCCTTTTTTCCCATTCCTACCTCTGGAGCATAGATTTTGATTTTTATTAAAGGACACAGTCATGCATAGAAAGCTTTAACAACCAGTCAGTTTGCAACATCTGTCCATGACAAAAGCATATTTCAAGGAGTGCTGACTGTAGGAACAACCAAGAGTCAGTTCTGCAATTCTTCTTTAAATCTGGCCCTACATAGTTTGTGTTTCTCCTGAAAATCAAAAACTAGCTGGATCACCTCAATAAACAGAAAGACAGCTGATGACTTAAATCTTGGTATTTAATGCTACTAATTACTTATAAGTGACTAAGTTATATCATGCAGATCCTTGTAAGACTCCTTATTAACATAAGAACATTTGAAGTTTTCACTCTGAAATAAAGTGCATCTGCAATGAAAATGGCAAAGGGAAGAGGCGGAAGGCAGCCCTCAGCAACAAGGAACATACTGCCAACAGAAAATATGATAGCTAGAGTGAGTATTTATGCTTTTTTTTTCTTTTTTTTTTTCCCCAGAAGAGGACATTTCCTTTCCACTTCCCAGCAGCTACTGCCTCCCCAACTGTCCTGACTTCTAATATCAACAGTCAACATCACTTGGTGTAAACCTACACAAAGTAGTAGACAGAAGAGCCATGGTTGTTTTGCAGTCTTTCTGTGATTTGGCTTTCTACCAAACTGCTTACTTATGCTTACTAGCAGGTATTTTATACACTCTACATCTGAAAGTCTACAGCAATCACTAATAATCCCTGGCAGTGGTACAATGGCACTCATTGGTAATCAGCCAGAATGTGGCAACAACAATCTATCACTGAAACACATTCCCACAAAATGCTTGTTTGTGAGTCAGTTTCAAGCTATTACTAACCACACTCCAGCAATCAGCAGAGATGAATCATCATCACTTGACACCAGAGATTAATTGCTGTTCGTTATTCCCTACAAATTACTAGCACAATTTGTCAAAAAGTCGCTAGTCACCAGTAATAATCAGTATATAGCTGTAAAGATAATTTGCTGTATTTAATTGATTACAAAAACTGTGATGCTACATAGATAATTTCACCCTGTTTAGCATATCACTCTACATGCTAGGAATAAGTAACAGGCAATGTAATATTGCTGTAGTCAAAGGACTGAGGATTCCACTCCATCCAGACTCCCAAGTCCTTAGTTTTCTTTGGAATGACACTTTCGACATGCTTTTGATGTCCATTCCCAAGTGAAAATATCAAAACAAACAGACAAAAAACCCAGCATCAGATATCAAGAAAGAGTTCTAGCAAGCATCTGAATTTCAGAACAATCTTCACTAGTTGCTCTCGAGGCCTTCAAATGTTTTTAAGCTTGTAAAGCACTGGTGTGCAAGGCAGTCATTGAATCATGAACATATTTAACACCATACTAAACATTAACAAAAGTGATGTGTAGACACTGGAGAAGTTAATCAGAACACGTTAAAAAAATATTAGTATGGAGACATAAACGACAGGTATGGTTGTTCCATGGAATTGTTGAACTACATTTTAACTCCACTTTTCTAGTTCACTGTGAATTGTATTCTTTAAAATGCTATAAGAAATACCTAAACTGTTGAATGAATATTCATAAGAATTTCCCTAATATCAGTCTGAAAATTAATAATCTACCAAGATATATCTGCATTTATGGACGTAAAGAGATCCCAGTTTTCTCTGTGTGGGTCACCATTGTCTCAGTCTAGATAGATAAAACTTTTCCTCTTTTTGAAATGTAGATCTTCTTCCTTTGTTATCTTCTGCTTGACATAATATCTGCTGATGATTAACATGTGATATACACATGTATTGGAACATTGATTCTTGCCTATTACATATATTTATTCCTATAGCTCCAATGCAAAAACAACTACGCAAGATACCAGCAGTAATCAAATTCTCTTTTCCCATAAAGACATCACCCTGCAACTTAACAAAATCTAAAAAAAAATATAAATGCCATGATCAGTAACAGAAGCTCTCTTCTCCCAATCCTTTTCAACTCATTGGTGCATTTCCTATCATGTCTACTCAGAGTTCTGCCAACACATGCATTTATAATGTTCATTAGAAATTGATTAGAAATGTATGTTCAGTAGATATAAGGAGGGGGAAGCGTATTCATGGCAAAAGGCCCAAACAGAGAAAGCTTCACCCAGGAAAGGGCATCTGCTAATCCCAAGAAAATTTTCATTTTTATTATTTTGTCGCCAGAGGTTGTCAAAAAAATACTTTCAAATGGTAAAGAGCAGAGAACCAAAATAACAGCTATAAGACTGGCAGTACTGCATGATTTAATGTTTATTAAGGTCAGCAACTTGAAATGGAATTCGTGTGATTTTAGTCCTGTATTGTAATATCTCAGGCTCACACAATACTCACTTCAGGTTTCATAAAAAGGCAACAATACTGGTGGCACAATAAAGACAATGGAAGTAGATCAGAGTTCCTGTGCACTGATTCACTGCGAATACATCGTTTGCAATGCTCAAGTCTCAGTATGCAATGTTTTTGCATTATCAAACTCCTACCTGATTCTAATTTTATCAAATGATGTGATATAACCAGATCAGGAGGGTATAGCTGCAGAGAAGTTGAGGTCAGAGATCTTCTCACTAAAGCACTGGAAAGTAGCAACTATCTCCTTATTCTTTTCTTTACATCACCAGGATTCGTTGCGCAGTGCATGACATGTGACATTCTGCACCACATGATTCAGGAAAATAAACAGTAGCAGTTTTTCAAACTGTTCATCACAAATTCACTCATATACTTACAGGTTAGACAGAGTTATCGGAGGCAGCTGTATGAGCATAGCAAAATTAATTTTTTCTGTTTAAAATTAAAGATGTATATTTTTATGCCAAACTCTTACTTAGTACACCAGACATTTTGAGATTTGCATGAGCATTTATGTGAAGCACTGCTTGAATTATTTTCTTTGTACCAAATGCTACAAAAGCATCATTTCGTTCATCTCAACAATGACTGAAACAGAAACTCAGCAGTTGACAGAGTGTGGCAGAACAGCAGACAAAATTAAAATATGCCCAATAACAGCAGCAAAAATAGCAGCTTTAATTTTCACCTTTTTCTTTTCCTTCCAACAGAGTACAGTTAGATCATTTGTAGACTTTACCTTGGATATCTTTCACTAATTGAACTATTTAATCCATGTGTTGCTTTAATATTGCAAACAGAATTTTGTAAGGCAAGTTAGATTCACAGGACCGGAATGATTCAGTTGTGCTTGCTAAAGTGACAATATGATAAACCACTGTTTCATTCTCAATAAAATGTATGTACTTTCTCCTACTTATGATTGAGTACTAAATTATGCATGCGCTACAAACACTACATGAAAACTGAAAACAAACAGTTTAGTCCAATTAGCAAATAAGGTGAAATCAGACTAAGAATTTGATTGCTTTTCTCTGGATTAAAAGCGTTTGCAAAAAAATTCTCATTAAAACTTAGAGAAATTCTGAGTTTAAATGCTGCAAGGATACTTCCTTGCAGTGAAAGTTTCCAGACATGAAGTAAACTCCTCAGAGTGGTTAGCTGAGATCTTTTCTATCATTATTTAAGAAAGTATTAGATGATTCATTGGAAAACAAAATCACTGATTTTAAAAATAATGTTCCCATTTTTATTCCTATGATACTCCTGTTATTAGACAGCATATGCAAGATTGATGTAACAGCCAGAAAAAATATGCAGGACGGATTGATTTTTATAATATTACTAACAATTTCCCTAATTTTTTTATTTTAGTTCACTTTGATAGAATACTGATCATTTGGTGGTATATTAAGCAAACTGAATGCTTTGGGGAAATTTGAGTTAATGATTTAAGGAATAACTGTCATTTCCTGTAGTGGGATTATTTAACCCGATTTTTCCAAAACTTTCTTTTGCACTTCTTATTCCTACCTCTTACTCAATAATGTTCCAAATCCTTTTACCCTTGGAAGCAAAGTGTTTCACAACCAGAGCAGAGGAAATCAAATAGAAGTGCTGAAAGAGGCACCATGACTGCTGCAATGATCACTTGAACTTTCCATAAGTCACATGTACAAATTCATACAACAGGCCTGCCCAGTTTACAGTATGGGGTTTTGGAGGAATAACTCCATTTATTGTACTAAGAGTTTCTCTAGAATCAATTAATGGCAAGTCCCTTACTATTTGCTTCCAGACAGCTCTTGTCCAATAAGTATTACCTTGCTAGTAATTCAACATCTTGAACTTATTTGCTGACATTTGTGCTCTCATGTATTTTACTGTTAATTGGCAACTTGTTCATTTTCCATTTCATGCTCAAAATAATGTATTTTCTAATAAGTGCTATGTAATTTTTCTGAATACAAAGTACATTTGGCTTAGTGATTATGTGAATACATTTGCACAACCAGGACAAAATACAAGAGGATTTCAGACTATAAAATAATTAGATATGGATGACAATTAAGGCTACCATCATGAGTATATGATAATCTTAACCCATATGCCACAAGAAGGTAGATAAATTGCTACCGAACTACAAGAATGAAGAAGGATCTGATCAGAAGTCTATACTGAAAGATTAAAAGAGGAAGAATGACCTACTACAAAAATCATAGCTTTTAATAAAACATAGCTATCATACATAAATATATGTGTCCTAGCAGAGTACAATACAGGATGGCAACATTCAGTTGTTCCTTTCAAAAGGCTTCTTGTGGTAGTCTGACTGAGCCACGTACTTTCAGCAGAGTGAACTTAACTACATTCACTATGTGCAGAGCAGCAAAAGTAGAATGGATACGTGAGAGTCCTAGTAGGGAAACAGGAAAGAAAGCGGGGGAAAAAGAGGCATGCATTTAAAAGCCACATGTTGAAATGTAGTAGCAGTGTAACATAAATGAACAAGGTTAGCATACTGTAATTTGAAAGATTCTGAAATAAAGGGTTCTGAAAACTCTTAAAGCTTTTTTGGTTTTGATTTTCCATAATGGAGTATTAGACCTTCAGCAAAGGCTTTCTAGATGAAAATTCAAAAAATATTTGCTATTAATCTTAAACTTGCTAAAATTACTCATTAAAATTACCAAGATAATTCCAAACATAAAAGAGGTGAGGAGACTGGACAATAGATTTATTGCGAACACAACCGTATTTACAAAGAAATTAAGCAGTCTTTAGGCACTAACAAGTTGAACGTACACAGTCTAATCCACATCCACTGTTTAAACAATGTAGATGGTCAAAACACAAAAATTTTTTTTCAACACACTTTGTAGCAACTAGTGAAATACTTCTATAGAAGAGGTGAACTTGAGAGCTGTTCCTACCTGATTGCTCCTGTTCTGTCAGCATAAGAAAGCAGTTTTTGGCGATCTGTTATTGCCATCATATTTGCTGAACTTCCATTAGGTACTCCTTATAATGTCTGGCCACAGAGGCTGGAAGCAGAATAGAAATGGGTCAGGAAGTTAGAAATCAGGATACAATTTTTACCAATCTTCAGAGAAGCAATAAGTAGTGTCTCTAGGGTTAATTGATGTTGATATACTTCTGATATGCTATACTATTTGAATAACTAAGTTAATGAAGAATATTCAAAGTAAACAGCTCGACTATCCAGCACAAGTAGAACTTAAATTGTATTTTCATTTTTCTAATTTTAACAGGAAAGTTGTAATAGTTGAAAGACAATCAGCTTTGAGGTTGATTTTTTTTTCCTGCTGTTATTTATTAGTTTATTCCTAACCTTGATTCTAGCTAGTGGTAGGGAAGCAGTCTGGCATTTGCAAACTGTGAAGAACTCATTACAATCTTGTCATGGTTTTATGATTTTTGGTTATTGGTATTCCACATCATAACATCATGTAGTGCTGCACTGAGAGTTGAAGTGTTAATGCTCCAGTTAAGGTACCGGTTCCCAAAGAGAAAAAAGGACTACATTTCCCAGAAGACCGTTCACTGTGTTGCTATCATTTCTGCTCGGGGGGGAACAGATATAAAGCCTTGATAGGTCATCTGACAGCCTTTCTTCATCAGGCTTTTTTCCCTGCTGCATCTCACCTCATTGTTATGGTGAGGTCTATCCATTTTTCGGACACTTTCTCTCATTAGATATATTAGCTTTGATTCTTATTATGTTGCATTATAGTGTGTTTTCTTGCATACCATATTTAGCAAATTAGTTTATGTCTCCTCAGATTGTTGCTGCTGTTTTTAATTATTTTGGGGTCCCTTGTTTCCCTTTTTCAGAGGTGCAGATTCACAAAATCCCTCCACCCTGCTAGTCATGGAACCAGGCCGAACCAGCCTGTAAACCACTGACAAGTCTAATGATGCTTTAGGAATCTCCACATCAATATTTTTTGGCCTTGATCAACAATTTTCTTTAAAACTAAAACGTGCCTTCCATTATGTTGGATTTCTACTGCACATGAACACACATTCAATACTGTATAAAAGTTAATAAGTACTGAATGAATAAACCTTAAATTTTATCTAGATACAGCAGTTTCCTTCACTACTTGCCTTAAACAGCTCTCATTTCTCACCTAAGAAAGGTTGGTTTTTAGTTTTTGAGATAGTTCATGAATACAAAATACTTTTGACCCTTAGGGAAGAAAACGTGCACACGCTGTGCTACATACACATTAAACATACCACAGGCTTTAGTTCTGTAGTATTACTGTTACAACTGACTGCAGTTTTCCTCCTGCCTGCTTTGTCTGTTTCAGACTGCAGAGAAAATTAGCACATTCTGAATATCTAGCCAGTCTGTCACTTAGTCTTTTGCTTCTGCACATGAAAGTGAACAAAACCTGACATGTATTTGTGAAGACAGTTTACCCTGCAGTGCATGTTTGTTCATCAGCTTCATCTGAGCCACTGGAAAACTCCGCATGTTGGAGAAGGCATTCTTCTCACTTGGCTGAGCCACTGCCACAAAACAGGGAAAGCCCCAAAGCACAGAAAGAAAGGCATCTGACAGTGCTATTGCAATCAACTGCAACTACCCTGAGGAATCTGAAACATGGTACATGTCTGAAGAAGCACAGAAGCTGCTATTTCTTGCAGGCTTTGTGCTCAGTATTAACAGCATCTAATCAAGTTACAGTAAGGAGCTGGAAATACTGCTGTGGACATCAAGAGCAATGGGATTGAATACAAAAATGAAATTGGGATTAAGCGGTTGGAATTTACTCCGGATATTAGCAAATCTTTTGAGTAGTGAAATTAAGAATGGAACTGTGTCTCAAGGATGTAAAACATTAAAAAGCTTGTATTGAATGACAAAAATTGAACCTAGCACACAATATTCCTATCAGACAGTAGTTTATTTCTCTCTGCATAAACAGATTGTACGAATTAAGAGGCTTCTCAGTCTACACTTTCTAAGATTAACAGCCTTACTACTCAGAAGCAAATAGGGATGTTTTTGTCATACAAAGACAAAAAGTAGAGGAAAAAAAAACCCTTTAATTTCTTGTGATATTAAGTATTGCTGTTTTAAATGTTCATTATTGGCTTCCAACGACACATTTCCACTCACTAAGCTTGACTCTTTCATGAGTGTTTTTCTTGGGTCATCTCCTCAAATTCCAAATTCTCCTCAAATTCTCCTCTTGCTTTGGTTCAAATATTAACAGGATAAACTTTAATTTACTTTGAGTTCTCAAGCTATAAAAAAAAGTCCAGGAACAAGCAAAGTTCAGAAAATGCTTGGGATAGGGCACATTAAATGAACCTCTGGGTTTCTAAATGGTAGCAACAATCAGATTAGCAACATGGACCATTTTAGCAGAATTATGTACTGCAAATGCAGTTCAGCCACCTCAGCTTGGAAATTCTTTGTGAATATACATCGTACTTAATACTTAGACCTCATCTTTCATCAAATAATTGGACTAGTGATAATGCAGACTATTAGTAATGCATGTGTATGCAAATTTAATTGCAGAATGCTTAACCTCACTGCCAAATAAATTATCATTGAATTGTATAATTTTATTGTTTGAAGTATATAATCTCTATAGAAACTGGATATGCGTAAACACTGTTTAACTGTAGTATATTCTGCAAAGGTTATTTCACAGACATGAGAACGCGTTTCTTTTGAACCTGTTCTGTTCCGTGTTATCAATATGGACATTCTGCTGAATTCCTCTTTCATTCTTTCAAGTGAGAAGTCTTCAAAGCTTCCTATGTGTTGGTGCTCTTCCATTCACTTTTTGGCCCTCTGATGATTTTTGTCTATCTTTTTCAGTATCTTATCTAATGATCACATCCTGGTCCTGAGAACTCCAGAGACTTATTTTTCAAAGGGTATGAATCACAGGCTTTTCCTCTTTTATTCTGTTCTCTTTAAAAAGCCTCCTGATTTCTGACACATTTCCATTTCTGATATTTACTTCAGTTTTTCTAACTTTTTGTCTTTCAAAATGTAATGTCTTAATGAATTATACATCTTCTACATAATCTGAAGAGCTGAATATTAAAATATTTGCTATTTACTCATGTAATCACTTTATCCTATTCCTTGGCTAACTACAGTAAGCCTTCATGTACACAAAATCTTCAGTTTTAGTCACTTACCTTACACCACCAGTGTTTCTCCTCCACTGCTAATATTTTCTGGTTGACTTGAGCACTGGTCTCCAAATATGTCTGCAACTACCCACTCCTTCTCTGAGTATCCATATATGCAGCGTTACTCTTGTCAATCTTCTCTCATGCTGTGGGCATAAATTATCACTGTTTATTATGAACTGTTACTGCATTTGCCTTGCTTTTCCAAATAATATTCACTTCTTCAACTTGTGACATTTGTCACAAGAAGCATAATTTACTGTGCTGATTTCTGCCTTCAGCTTCTCTTTGCCTGTTAGCTCAAGGTTTTGCAATTAGTTGTTTCATCCGTGCTACAGTTAGCTCCCTAAATGACTAGAATGTTCTCACTAGCTTTAATAATTTTCATAACCTTGTATGTTTTCATCTTTTTATATTCTCTCATACACATAATTCATACATTTTAATATAGCATGCAGTGCTCCATGCAGTTTGATTGTACAGTCTAATAATAGCAAATTTTAATGGAATTAGTGGAATACTAATGAAAAGAGCAAGCACTTCCAAAACAGTTGGTATCAAGAATCTGAATTCCCATTCTTTTATGTTGCTTTTTCTCCCCCAAATTACATACTCAATCCTTTTCCAGCTATGCTTCATGAGTTTTTCTTACCAACTCCATGGCCCATTTCCATGAATAACTGGGTGGATAGACCCGCAGACCCACACCCTGGGAGAGAGAGAATGGGGTAGAAAAAAAACATAGGGAAGTGGGTCTAAAAACAAAACAGCAGCAATGACCTACAGGAGAAAACTAATTTACTAAATATTGTAGTGAAACGTGAGATAACACAATATAACGCAATATATTTGGAACTGAATAAATGAAATAAATGAGAGTGTCCAAAACTGAAGGCCTTACTCTAATGCTGAAAACAAGATGGCTAGGGAGTACACGCGGCACGGACAAGCAGAAAAATAAGAGCGGTCTCTTGACTCCCAGTCAGTTTTATCTTTCCCTCTAAATGGAAAATGGAAATGAAACAGTGAAGTCTTCTGGAATTTGTAGTTCTTATTCTCTTCTGAGAAAAGTATACCCAGAACTACCAACAAGCCATGGAACTAGAGCGTTAACTCTTTAGCTCCCAGAGTACAACATTATGTTGTGATGCGGAATACTCATAACATAAATCATAAAGCCTAACAGTTTTGCAGGTTTTCACTTCTTTTCTACTGAAAAAAAAATCATAGCAAAGAATTTTCTCATGAATCTTCCTGCGCTTTTACTCTGAATATATGTTCTGACAGGGGATGCTGAAATTCTTACCCCTAGCTTTTGTGTTCATAGTTGCATCTTCCTATATGGAAGTTTTTACAGTGATGTTTGTGATTTTACTTCCTGTGCTAGCAAGAAACAGGTCTTGATAGAAAGCTCTTTTAAGTCAAATACATGGATACATGTTCATTCTTCAGGAGATTATGGGTACCGCCCATCTGTAGCTTGCTCTCTATTCTTTTTCTCAGTCCAAATTCAACGAAAAAGAGAACTTGTGGTAGCAAAAAAAAAAAAACAAAAAACATTTTATGATTCAGTGAATAGGGTAAATTTTGAATTTCATCAACTGTGGTGGTTTGTTTTCACTAAGACTTGTGCAAACCTGTTACTTCTCTTGAAAATGCATTTTTTCAGCATCTTGACATAATTTAAACTGAGCTGAAAATAGCATTGGCCAAGTCACTTCTACAGGATGAAATTTCCCCACTGAAAACTGTATATAGATACTAGATGTGAATACCCAGAGGACACTGTTAGTATCCTGTTAAGACAGTTTGAATAAACACACCACTGTTAAGGCAAAGCCTAAAATCAAAGCCACACAATTATTTAATATGAACCACCGCAGCAGGGAGAGATTCACTTTAAATTTATGCTTCTTTCAAAGCAAAATGTCTCCTATCAATTACAAGTGACTCAATTGTTCTGCCAGCGGAGGATGGAAAATATTTGTTACTGCAAACCCCAGACATAAACAGAGAATATTAAGGCATTCAGCCCCAGAAACCATGAGCAGACCTTCTCCGAGATGCAACCACCTGAAGTTCTGGGGTGCTATAATCAATACCTCAAACTGTTTTCCCAGAGCAGAAGAGAATGAAAAAGATGTTTTAATTCATCTGCAACAAACATTCATTTGTTATTAGCTTCTCCCCCAAGCTCTCATACGTAAGAAGGATGATAGGAATTTACAGTATCTTTAAGTACAAGAATTACGTATAAGTTTATGAATCCAGATGTGCTCTTTCATATAATATTGAGAAAGTGTATTTTTTTAGAGAAATTTTGAACCTTATTTCCTTAATGCTAACAATAAAGAACATCTCAAATGCACAGGACAGAAGAGTGTCAACAATGCATAAGGACTACACCCTCATTAGTTTTTATTCGCAAAGATAATAAGTAGGAAATACCACATAGTTAAGGATTTACAGTCCTAGGAAGGTAAATAGAAGTAACAGTTTAGACCAATATTATTGAATTCTGCCATTTAAAGTCCTTTCTGGTGGATTTAATAGGCAACATACATCATTTTTAGAAGAGGTGTTAGAATGATTACCATCTAAATCAGGAGCATATTTAGTCAAGCAGGCTGATACAAATTCATCTTTTGACTTGATGGCAATAATGCATATAAAATTTGGAGAGATTTATGCCAGGACCCAAGGAATATAAAATTCATCTTGAATTAACTAATTTTTGCCATAAGCATACTGTGAGTGATACAGTGCTGCCAGGAAAGATTTGTGGCCTGTCTAAGCTACCTTCTGTTCTCTACAATAAAAACGTCTAGTAATAGGAGTGATAGCAGCAAATTTTACACATCACTAACGATGAAAATGAATATACTTTCCATCATGCCTTGGAACAAAATTGTAAATAGTGTAACGTAAAATGTAGGAAAGAAATCAGTGGGTTTTGTGAAAGAAAACTTCATTTAGTATTTTTACATACTTGAATTTTCTTCCAGTGATGCTTCCCATCAAGACTGATTTTTTCAGTCAGGTTACAATAGAAAAATCGTTCTTGGTAGATCTTAACTGTCTTCAAATAAAAGGTAAGCCATGGTAGCATAAGCTTAAACCAGTCCAGTATGAGCTAAAAATTCTTTCTAAACCAATGCTTCAAAGCTAATCAGATCACACTCTTAGCACATGGTACTGTAAGTCTTTCAGCTTTCCCAGGATCAGTCTTATGTTGCCGAAATTTATCATGTATCAGGCGCTAACTGCAAAACTCTCTCATATGATCCTCTCTCATACACTCTAATCACAATGGTTGCAAATAATAGATTCCCAACACAACCAATGGTTTTTGCCCATTGCCCCTATTCTGCCTCTACACACCCATTGAAAAGAGCCTATCTCCATCCACTTGACTCCTGCACTTCAGATACTTATAAAACAGTGATAAGATCACCTCCTAGTTTTCCTTCCTCTCTCTTCCTTCAGTTATATCAATTGTACCACTCAACTTGGTGTCATCAGCAAGCTTGCTGAAGGTACACTTGATCCTGCTGTCTATGTCACTGTAGGGGGACTGGATCACCTTCCCTACAAAGGCAAGCTAAGGAAGTTGGGCTTGTTCAGCCTGGAGAAAAGAAGGCTGCAGCGTGACCTAATTGCATTCTTTCAGTACTTAAAGGGAGCCTACAAACAGGAGGGGAATCAAGTCTTTGAAAAGTTAGATAACAGCAGGACAAGGGGAAGTGGTTTTAAGTTGAGGGAGGGAAGATTTAGGTTGAATGTCAGGGGGAAGCTCTTTACAATGAGAGAGGTGAGGTGTTGGAACAGCTGCCCAGATGTTGTGGATGCCCCGTCCCTAGAGCTGTTGAAGGCCAGGTTGGATGGAGCCCTGAGCAACCTTGTCTAGTATTAAATGTGAAGGTTGGTGGCCCTGCATGTGGCAGGGGGGTTGGAGATTCGTGATCTTTGAGGTCCCTTTCAACCCAGGCCATTCTGTGATTCTGCAATAAAGAGGTTGAAGAGAACATCTCTTGGTTTTATTTCTTACAGATTGCCAGAAGGTGTTCAGCGCAGACCTGAAACGGTAAATGAGCGTCTGGGGGTGAGAAGAGAGTAAAACTACAACTGTGATACCTCTTTCATAGGCAATATCCTCATGCATAACACTGAGGTGATACTGAGCTAACCTGTGGTTGCACAAAAACTTCTTCCCCCTCACATTTTTTAAGTGCACATTTATATTGTTTACCATAACGTAAAAATGCAATCTTTACATTTTTTCTGTGGCCTCCTGCTAGGGTCAAAGAGTTTCTGTGCTTCAGCAGTCACTGGAGTCCTCTGCTCAGAGAAGAACTCAGTATGAAAGAGATACATAGTGGGATACAACTTCACATGCTACTTCCATGTCACCTCAGTTGTCCTTGAGACGTAGGAACAGGTAAGGCAGCATAGAGGGGAAGCTGCTATATAACACTGGCTTTCATGGACTACTACTGGAAGAAGTTTCATAAACTAATTTGACACAAGGAACAATGATCTGAAAATCTACACATTAGATCCAGGATCTAATTATAGTAAGATGAGGTTAAAATAAAAGGAAAACCTACAGCTGATTGTTATGGGATGCACAGTTCAATAGTCATAACCTGGAGATGATGGAATTTATAACTTTTTCAAAAAGGAAAGATCTGACAAGCTGGAGACCCTAACCTTCAGTCTCAGATAAATTTCCTTACAGAACAGATAATACAGTTGTTTCAGAAAAAGTCTTAAATGCCTTTTCAGCCCTAATTATTCTACTTAGAGGCCAGAACTAAGCAATAAGTGAAGTATATCTTCCTTAGTCGCTCAGTGGGTAACTGTGTATATGGAAATCAATTATAAAAAAAAAAAAAAAACAACAATTAAGATAGCGCAGAGCCAGCTGACATCCTTCTACCATGATAGAAAACAGTTAATAGTTTGTAAAATGTTTCACTTATTATTGCTGTTACCTGATTTAACCTTCCTTAAGCTTGGAAAACAAAAGGCAGAAAACACCTCTTCATCGAGGTGTTACAAAAGCTTTATTGATTTTGACAACTTGATACTCTTGACGCTATGAGGAGTGAAAATGTGGCAGAAAGTTCAGCCTGAAAGGTCAAGG